TGGGCCGGATTGACCTTCCTTCTTTGACAAGCGGCGCATCCTCTCAAAATATCTGCAACGTCGCGAGCCAGATTCGGCCAGAAGACCCGCTTCTTAAGCTGTGCGATGGTCTTTTGAGTTCCCAGGTGTGACCCTTGAATCGCTTGCTCGTGAAATTCCTTAATGATCGTTGCTCGCAACGGATAGGGGATTAGCAGCCGTGGAAGAGCGTCGTCCATCTCTGGCTCGACGTAGTAAATTGCGCCTCCTCGTACCTGGTACGAGCGCGTAATCTCCTTAAGTTTCTCTCGCTCTTGCTCGTTGTTGGGCCATCGCTCTTCCACGAGTGCTTCGAATATCCGCTGATACTCGGGAACGGCGCGTTGCTCGTAGCGTACGCGTTGAAGCGTAGTGAGAGGCGCACTGTCTTCTCGCAAAGCGGCTACGCTGGCTTGTGCTGGTTGTTCTGGAGGGAAAAATTCCTCTGGTGTTTTGAACACGATGCCGAGGTTGGTTGCAAACTCACGGTCGTAGTTCGAATGATCTGCAGGTCGGTTGGGAGTCCACGGTCGTCCGGCCGAGTCCCCGACAAATGTGCATGCCTCTAAGTTAATGGACACGCCATCATTTGCTTCCGATTCTAGCCACTCCCAGAGGCCTGTATGCGGCTTGCGAAAGTACTTAGAATCTAATGCAACGAATACTTGCATGGGTGCTCCTATCGCTGCGCAAATTTGCTGAATGCGCTGGCGAAAGTCCTCAGCGTTCACTTTTCCCACAGCTAAACCAAACTGGTTCGTAAACACGCAAATTTTATACCCTGCGGTGTGGTGGATTTGCAGTGTTCGCGCTATTTTCGGGTGAGCAAGGTCCCAGTCGTCGCGGGTTTCGGGAAAAGATTTGCCGGAACGCGTTCGTATAAGCGTACCGTCCAAGTCAAGGCCGAGAATCTTAGATCGTCCAACGACGTTTTCGGTTGTGAAGAGCCAGGCCTTGTTTGTTATCTCTGACCATACACCCTCGGCCATCGGGCGGTATTCTGGGGCTGGTTCCGGCTGCGCAGTTGCCTCGTCGGCTGCCGGGTAGCGGCTGAGAAAATCGCAGAAGGTGTTGGACCTTCCGCTGCGGTGCTCGATGCTAATGTCTGCGTGCTGGATCGTCATTTGATACTTTGCTAAGCATCCCGTCAGGTCTTTGTTCCTCATGAGGGATGTCAGCGCGGAGTTGTCGGTTCGTACTACCGAATGTCCTGCGCCCTCTAAATATGCAGCAAAGCTTTTGAGCGCGAACACGATTGCCAACGCCTCCGACTCCACGCTTGGATACCGTGCCTCGTGCTTGTTAAGCTTGCGTGAGGCGAACGCTATTGGGTGTGCCTCACCTTCGGCGTTTTTCTGAAGCAGGCATGCTGCAATTGCCGTTGCGCTTGCATCGGTTTCGACGATGAAAGGCTGACCGAATTTGGCGGGTGCCAGCACTGGAGCGTTGGTGAGCTTGTCCTTCATCGTTTCTAGTGCGCGGTCGTGTGTTGTCGACCATCGTTCCGTACTGCCTTTCTTGCATAAATCGTTCAGTGGGGCCATGATTTCCGAGAACTTCGGCACAAACCGGCGAAAGTAATTTAACGCCCCGATAAGGGACTTTAGTTCTGTGAGGGTGCGTGGCGCTTTAAACTTCCGGACTGCTTCGAGATTCTTTGGGTCGGGACGAACGCCTTTCTCGCTGACAAGAAATCCGAGATGTTTGATCTCGTTCCTTGCCCAGGTACACTTGTCCAAGCGTAGCTTCAGCCCGTACTTGGTTAGGACTTTTAGTAGCTGGTCCAAGTCCGCCAGATGCGTGTCTTCATCGTCTGATGCCAGCACGATGTCGTCCAAGTACACGTAGAAAGCTGCTGTTAGCTCCCGACGCATCGCCTCCATTGCTTTCTGAAACGTTGACGGCGCCGAGCAGAGGCCGAACGGCATCCGTAGGAATTCGTACAAGCCTAGAAATGTGCCGAAGGCTGTCTTTTCCACGTGTTCCGGATGTACGGAAATTTGGTGAAAACCGGATTGCAAGTCAAAGTTGCTGTAGATCCTTTTGCCTCCGACTAGATCTAAGATGTCCTGTATGAGTGGTAGGTAGTATGTCTGTTTTACTGTAATTGCATTCAGCTTACGGTAGTCGACCGCAAATCGCCAAGATTTTTTGTCAGCCTTTCGCACCATTACGATCGGGCTGCAGAAATTGCTAGTTGAAGGTTGGATGATATGTTGGCGGAGCATGTCCTCGATCTGACGCTCTACTTCTTCGCGCAGCGCGACAGGAAGTCGGTACGGCCTGGTTTGAAAAGGGACCGACCCTTGAACCGTGTCTATCCGATGAACGACTGGTCCCGTGTACTTGCCAATAATGCCGTCCTTCTGCACGAAGGCTTCCGGGTGGCTGGCAATTATCGCTCGAAGCTTTTCTTTTGCTGGTTCCGAGAGGACGGACTTGGATAAATCCAATTTGGGTTCTTCGGTGTCCGGCAGTCGCGGGAGGGCTGCCTCCCAGTGTGCTTCTGGTGCTTCTTCTTCCTCGTCCGGCAGAAGGTCGTGTTGGTGCGGTTCCGGACAGCAGATTTCGTCTTCGCTAACTGCCCCAATTGCGTAGAAGGGACCGCGCGTGCAGCACTTGAGGACGCGCTCTAATTCTGCAACGCGTGTACCCTTGTATACTTTGACTCGCGCGCAGCCTGGGTTGAGGATGCGTACCGCAACCTTTCGTGTATTGTCCGGGCATGCGACGCTTTTCCCGACGTGTATATCGTGGCCGTGTGGAACCTGTGCCACGAACCATTCGGAACCAGGTTCTAAGTCCTGATCTGTGTCCAGGATTATGAACGTATCCGAGCGTGGTGGAAAGATCGTCGTTGTGGGCATGATGACGTTGGGTTTCACTTCCGGTGCTAGCTGAACAGCGTTGACCATGGCTAAGACCTTCGGTCCTATTTGGACTTCTCCTTTGGTCCAGTCGAGACCAATGGGGAGGCGCATTTCGCTTAGCTTCGCCATAACGTCTGTGCCTATAAGCAGTGGTTCCGCGCAGTGGTTGTCTGCTGCTATGCGCATGTGAGCTGTAACAACAACGTCCGGAGCCAACTCTATCGGAACTTCCGCTTCTCCGATGAAGGAGAAAACGGTCCCGTTGGCGGCAATTCCCGGTCGGGTACACGGGCGGATATTAGTGATGTTACACCGCTCCGCGACGGACTGCTTGCAGAGCGTCATGCACGACCCACAATCGAATAAGGCCTTCGTGCGAACGCCATTTACTTTGACTTCAACGACAGGTGGGTTGGCATGAGCTTCGTCTGCCCATGAGATTCGGCAGCAAGTGGGGTAATAGGGCATGCGCTCCAGAATGGCCCGCTGTTCCGGCGTCAGAGGGTCCTCCGCTTCTACTCGGGGTGTTTCTGCTTCTGCTACGCGGCAAATCGTCGCCATCTCAACGTCTTCGTATCGGATCGGAGCCGGCGGTCTCGGTGGCGGGGCGTTTGTACTGAACCCGTTTTGCGCTGAAGCTTGACGGACTGCATTAACGAAGTTACGCTGGCGTCGAAAGCAAGCTGTCCACCAAGGCGCTGAGTACAGCACCATGAACGCTGCGACTGCTACTAGTGCTAGTATGCAGAGCGTACGCAAAGTGTGCTGCCAGTCTGTCCATGCCGACTGTGCTGAGGACCATGCCGAACTTACCCACGATAGTGTGGCGTTCGTTGTATTGTGCGCGGCCACCTCAAGTTGGTAGAAAAGGTCTTCTACTGCTTCGGCTGGGTTTGACCAAACTGATTGCAGGTGGGGAGGGGGCGTCACGTGTGCTTTGATAAGCTTCTCGAGTCTATTCGTTTTGCGCACGTATTTGGACAGTAAAGCAATGGTAGTCTGGACCGGCGCCAGATGTGAGTTGTAAACTGACGGAGCTTCCAAGTGGATGTGTTCCTGCTGTGTTGGCATGCGCAATTTGTCGTGCAAAGACACGACGTTCACCGGACCGTTTCTTGTAAACCATGTCCCGTTGGGCGCACGGTAAGCAGCTAGTGGTCTCGAGCTGCAAGGAATCTCCGACGAGAATGGTTGAAGTTCCCGAGTTCCGGTATGCACATACCATGTCTGGTTGTCTACTACCACGGGTAGCGCATCGTAGCATTTGTCTCCGATCTGGTTGTCCCAATGGACTACGCGTGGGATAACTTGTTTGCAAAGGGATACCCTGTATGCGTCTCCGGCGGATTCTGCATGGATGTCGTCCCTCCGTAGAAATTCACGCATTCCCAGCGTGGGTGAGAGCTGAAGCATCTGCAATGTGCCCATCGTCTGTCGATTAGAAATTGCGCACATTTGCTTCCATACGCGCCCGAATTCTGCGTCTAGCTCTTCCTCCAAGTGATAAGCAAAGAACTCTAAACGAGCGTTGGCTGCGGAGAGATCTTCTCTTCCTGCCAGCGGGGCAGTTTCCGTTGCCGTAGTCGAGCGGATGCTTCTGCCTCCGGCTGGCGGTCTGAATGGCCCAGACGCCGCGGAAGCTTTAGGCACTGGGCTCGCTGTAGAAGTGGATGTCGAGGAACTACTCGGTGCTTTGGTCGCTGTAGGTCGAGGTGACGACGAAAACGGTGCTTGAGTTACGAGTGGTTTAGCAGTCGTGGGCGGCTTAGGCGGCGCGGCCGGCGCTTTCGGGGTTGGTATCCGAGTTGGCGACGGCTTTGGAGCTGGCGTGACTTTTGTTTCTGGCTTTGACGGCGCTTTTGGTGTTGATGTCGGCTTTTTCTCCGCAACTGGTCCCTTCCGTGGAGTTGCACCAGTACTGGACGGAGTCCTTGCTTGTGGTGACGGCGTAGGCGTTTGTGGTGTGACCGCGGGTTTCTTTGTTGGCAGTAGGGGTGTGGATGCTGCTAGGGGTGCCCGCTGTGAGGGTGGTGGAGATGTCGTAATCCCGTGCTTAGCCTGTCTTTGTGCCAGCAGTTGTGCTTGTTTTTCCCGCATCCGGCGGAGGAAGTCCTCAGCGTCTTGCTTGTCGCCCGCGTCGTCCTCCTCAGGCTCGTGTGAATCTACCTTACGTCTTGGTCTACTCCTAGCAAGGAGTCGCGCTTCCTCATCCTTTTCCTTCGTCAGCTCCTCTAAGCGCGTAGACACTCGCTTCCAGTCGACGAGGAAAACTGTCAGTTCTTCCTGACTCATGACTTCTTCCGAAGTTCGAAGCGGGACGAATGTTGGGTCCATCCACCTGGCATCTTGCGCAGCTACCGCAGTACTGAAGCACTTTGATTCTTCGTACTCCCATTTTCTGCGGCGGAAGAGGTGCGCAGTACCGTCTTCCCAGAAGACGCGATGAATGCTACCGTTATGGGCGTTGACCACACCAGTGCCGTGCGGCAGCTCGTGGTGATGGGAAAATTCTTCTCCTAATGTTGTCTGGAACTTCCATACTGGGACTCCGTAGGATACGTTATGGATAACATGTAGTACTTGACGCGGCGGTTCGTATGGCCATTTGTTCGGTGTTCGCTTGCACGGGTTTACGTCAAGCGTAGGAAGTTCTGGTTCCGGTTCCGGCTGTGCTGTCGTTGCGGTCGTTGTTGTCGCTGTTGGCTTGTGCTTTAGGAGCGTTATGCCATATCCGTACCGACCAACGTTTGAGGGTTCGGTGTAAGTGAGCGGAGACAAGGTGGGCTTCCAGAGCCTAGGGTTATAGGTCCAGCGGTAAACTTTTCCCGTTATGGTAGCCGGGTTAGCTACTAGGCTAGGTAGAAGCAAGCTTGGGTCCGAACCGCGTTTGTTTCGAACCTTGTTGTTGCCGTAGAGTGATATGATCGCGTGATTGTCCATGACAAAACTGCCGTTCGGGATACACTGTGTAGCCTCCGCATCGATGGTAAAGTTAGCGAATGTCCAAGCTGACTGAATTTGCTCAATCATTACATATTCCGCGGTAACGACGGCAGAATAGTTTCCGGAGGATTCGTACAAACACGCCTCCTGTGGTTCCGGCTGCTTCCAGACGGTTACTCCGTTATATCGTGAGCACGAGCGATGGTCTGGTCTGCACTCGCTGACATCATCCAAGTCTGATACTAGGGTATCGTCGTGCAGGATGCCTACTTGTCCTCTGATTAGGACCGCGTTGTGAATGACCTCGCAGTTCTCACCAAACCATCCTTTACGCTTTCTGTCAAACTGGTTGTGCGTCATCCACAAGTCTGCGTCGGAAGGGCTAAGGCTCGCACCCTGCCATTCCTTATCTTGTACCATTCGCCAGCATTGCTCAACTGTAACTGCCGACTGCACTGGTTGAGCCAAATGTTCTTTTGTAGCGAGGCCGAATAGCATGTTTGTGCAGCGGGTATGCGTGAGGTTGTAGCAATGAAAGGCTTCCAGAAGCAGGGGTTTCGTTTTGGGGACAAATACCTCTGCTACTGCCTTAAATGCTTTTTCATGCGGTGGCAACGTGCAGTTCTGTACCTCTGGTCGGGCTATAAGCGTGCCTCCTCTGGATTTACTGCAAATCTGGAAGATTTCTTCCGTCATTGCTGGTTGGAAGAGGGCAACAATGGCTATGACGCAAAGCGCAGGCATGGTTATAGCGTTGATGTTGTATCTTCCCCTTCCGGACCTTTCGAGTTCGGGCGGTGCTGCTGGCGCGCTAGGGTGCGGAGTACTTTCTCGCTGTTCGCGTGGGGTAATGTCCCTCCGCTTGTTGTAGTTGCCGCGTGGTGGAGCTGCACCGCGATTGTTTCCGTATTGTGGCTGCCACGGTCGTGGGTTATAGCTGCTTTGCTGGTAAGGCTGCGGCTGGTAGCCCTAGCTACCCTCGTTGCGGTAAGGCGGCCTCTGGTCCCGGAAGTTTCCGGGCGGTCCACGCTGGAAACCTCCTCGGCTGAAGCCCCGGCTTTTTATTCCGCGAAATCCTGTGCGCGGCGCCCAACTGCCAGTCTGGTACGTCGCGCTATTTTGTTGCTGCTTGTAGCGTTGTTTGGTTTCCCAGTCCCTGAACCACTGCGGCGGCTCTGTTGGCTGGTTTGTCACGGTCTGAGGAGCCGTTGTTATCGCTGCGACGGTTGCCGGAATTACTAGTTGCGGTTGCAAGTGCATTGGCTGGGTCCACGCAGTGTTTTGTGTTACACCGGAGTTATACCACTCCCTCTTTGGTGGAGATGTAGACCGTGCTCGCTCCTTATTGGCTTTGGGTTCCGGTTGTTCTGCCGATTCCTTAATGCTAAGCTTGTCCAGCTTGTGAATCACTTTTTCAAAGCCTTTCTCAATCCCGCGCTCCATACGGTTCGCTGCTGCTTGTAGTTCTTCGTCCGTTCGTACGGATGCTACTAACTGCGCGCGATCGCTGTAGTCACGACGAATGTCCAGCTGTATTTGTTCTTCTTTACGGGCCAGATCAATTGCGTCCTCAAGCGTGTTCGGGGTGTCCCGGCGAATTAGTTGCTCCTTAATCTGTGGGCGCAGCCCACGGAGGAAGTAGTCTATTTCGTTCTCCTTCTTTTGCTGGGCAGTATAGCTGTGAGATTCCGGGAATGCTTTTTCAACGAGGTAACGTATGTCTAGCGCATACTCCGCGATGGACTCGTGTGGTTTTTGTGTGCGATTTTGCAGACGCTGCCTCATGTGGGGTACATTGTCCTGGAACGTTAGCTTTTTCCCTAAGGCTTCGACTAGCTTTTTCCAGCTTGTTTTGTCTCCGTCTGGTATTGTCTGGTACGCAGCTTTGGCCTCGCCTTCGAGCGCAGATCCTAGCATCTGACACTTGCGTGCTTCGTTCCAATCATACGACAGTGCTACGTCGTAGAATACGTCAAGATATTCCTTGAAGGTGCGAGTATCTGCGCGGCCCCTGTACTTGGGAAGCGGGGTGGGCGGTATTCCCGGTGTTTTAAGGCTTTTCATCTCGTCGCGCAATTGGTCGCCCAGGCGACGGGTAGCCG